GAAGAGGATCTTTTTCTCCTGTTCTCAGTGATAAGCCGCCAAGGAAAAAGCTTCAAATTTTTTTATTTTTAATTTTTTAAGATTTTCATTTTAAAGTTTATTTTGAGTGAGAGCGAGTGCATGCATGCGTGAGCAGGGGGACAAACTCACGGGACTCGAACTCATGAAGCCAGAAGTCATGACCTGAGCCGAAATCAAGAATCCAGTGCTCAGTCGAATTGGGTGGCTCAGTCGGTTAACCGTCCGACCTCAGCTCAGCTCATGATCTCATGGTTTGTGAGTTTGAGCCCTGCCCCGGGCTCTGTGCTGACAGGAGAGAGAGAGAGAGAGAGAGTGTGTGTGTGTGTGTGTGTGTGTGTCTCTGCCCCTCCCCCAATTGCGCTTGTCTCTTTCAAAAATAAAAACATTAAAAAAAATTTACGAATTCGATGCTTAACTGACTGAGCACCACCAGGTGCTCGTACTTTTTATTATTTTTTTTGGAAGTTTACTTTGAGAGAGGGAAGAGAGAACGAGCAGGGGAGGGGCAGGGAGAGAGAATCCCAATTAGGCTCTGAGCGCTCAGCAAGGAACCAGGCAATGGAGCTCGATCCCTTGAACCTCAGATCATGACCTGAGCCGAAACCAAGAGTCACTTAGCCGACTGAGCCACCCAGGCGCTCCCAAAAACCTTCAAATGTTTAAAATACAAAGTATGTCTCATTCCCAACAGTTGGTGAAATAAGTGTTAAAAATTACCTATTAAAGATAAAATGTTTCAGTATTTTCTCGATAGAACTGAAATTTGGAAGCCCTTCCCCAGGAAAACTAGATTACTCCGTCACACCTTGTCACGTTGCTGCTTCAACCGAACCCTATCTGCTCCACTACGGATATTTTCAGCGAGGGCTTTGCTAACTGATTTTGCAAGTCTTTCCCACCCTGAGGAAGCAGGTGATCTACTAAATAGATTATCTATTTATTGACAGTAAGTTAGTGCTATTTTGGCTTCAGAAAAACTTTGGTTACAATTCGTATCACTTCCGTTCAATTCGCTTTTTAAAAGGTGAAGTTCAGAATATAAACATAAACTCATAAAGAAATTCAGGTTGTAAAGTAACATTTAAATGTGGTGCAAATAGTTTTAATGTTTTGAATTTTCTATTATTTTGTCTCTTCACAGACACACACTGTTTTCCACCTTCTTCATGCCTTTTTTCTTTTTAAATTTAATCTCTACACCCAGCATGGGGCTCGAACTCATGACCCGAGATCACGAGTCGCATGCTCCTCCAACTAAGCCAGCCAGGTGCTCCTTTTTTGTGCAGTTTTTTCATTTTTTGATGTTTTTTTTTTTTTAATTTTTTAAATGTTTCATTTATTTCTGAGAGAGAGAGAGAGAGCGCGTGAGCAGGAGAGGGTCAGAGAGAGAGAGGGAGACACAGAATCTGAAGCAGGCTCCAGGCTCTGAGCTGTCAGCACAGAGCCCCACACGGGGCTCAAACTCACAAACCGTGAGATCATGACCTGTGCTGAAGCCCGACACTTAACCAACTGCACCACCCAGGTGCCCACAACTTTCCAATTTAAAAGCTCATTTAATGCTTCATAGAATGAATAGAGTGTATCATCTACATATAGATCTTTGACCCGTCTAGTGAATGGAATCCTTCACAGTTCCTCATGAATATTGGGCATTCATAATCATCATAACTGAGGAGAAATGTTGCAAGATGTAATGTATTCTCATACCCACAACTTCCCATTCAAATTTAGTAATAGCTAATCCGATCTTTTTTCAAGCAGTTTTATTGAGATAGAACTCATACACCACACACTTCCCCCATTTCGAAGGTACAAATTCAGTAGTTCTGTGGTTGGTGGTTACATGCCTACCTCCTTCACCAGACTGAGGGCTTCTTGAGGGAGAGTGTTCCAGGCATTCATTTCACTCATTCATTCATGCAAACGTTTACTGAGCACCTACTGTGTACAGGGGACACAATGGTGAGCAGGACAGAAGTCTGCCCATTCTGTGGTGAGAGTGGGGAAGAGGTTTTTTTCTTTTAATGCTTATTTATCTTTGATAAAGAGAGACAGAGTGCGAGTAGGGAAGGAGCAGAGAGAGAGGGAGACACAGAATCCCAAGCAGGCTCCAGGCTCCGAGCTGTCAGCACAGAGCCAAATGCGGGGCTCAAACTCATGGACTAGGAGATCACGACTTGAGCCGAAGTCGGACGCTTAGCCGACTGACCCACCCAGGCACCCCAGGAAGTGCTGATTAATAAAAATAAGCCTTATGGAGCACTTACATGTGCAGGGCATGGAGATCCCTGTGGGTGACTGTGTCCTCAGGGCTGCCACAGGGCTGAGTTTCCAGGGGAATTGAGTTAACCCACAGCAGAAGGCAGTCCCTCTTCCCGCAGCCTGGCCAGATCAGCGCGTGCATATCTGGGGCACTTAGGTAAGCTCGGCACCTGGCTGGCTGTGCAGGGGCCTCCGCGGTCACTCCACTCAGCAACAATGAAAGCCAAGTCCAGTAACGGAAGAGATGAAGAGGGGAGTGAGTTGTGGGTTCCTCCCCTTTCTCAGCTTTGGGGACTGAAGGGCACGCCTAAGCTATTACGGCTGAAAAAATCCCAGGTTTGTGGCACCTGGGTGCCAACTCTTGATCTCAGCTGTGGTCTTAATCTGAGGGTCATGAGTTCAAGCCCCACGTAGGGCTCCACACTGGGTGTGAAGCCTAAAAAAAAAAATCCCAGTTTCCCTAAATAAGCAAGGGGAACCCCAGGTTGGGAGGGCCTGGGGCCTCATGCTGAGGACAGGCATGCTGGGGCCCCCCTTCTGTTCTGCTGAAGACAGCCACCTGCCTGCCAGCCAGCTAGCTTTCCTGCCCCCCCCCCCCAGGATCTGGGGGAACGCTGAGGCCAGGCACTGCGGCACAGCATTTGTGTACACGGCATCTCCTTCGATGGTTAAAATATGAACCGCCAAGGTTGGGCTCTTTGCGGGGGTGACCGGCCCGGCCTCCTGCTCCCCATGAGCGTCCAGATGAGAATCCTTCCCGGTCAAGGACAACTGACGAGTGCAGCCCCCCTTTCGTGGCCGAGCCTGGGCCGTAACCTAAGCGCAGACCTCGGCTGAAGCAGGCGGGAGGAAGGTCCGAAGCAGGAGAGCTCATCCCATCAGGCCGCACCTAGAGGTCAGGGCCCCAGCACGCCCTGCCTGCAGCGAGGCACAGAGGTGGGTGCCCAGTGCAGAAGTCCGCCCTCTCCCCTCCCCCCTCCCGGACCTCACCCGCCTGCACACACGGCCGCCCAGTGTGGTGGAGCTAATGGGTCCCTCGGACTGGCCTTCTGCTTTCTGGGAGGAGCTGGCGAGGCTCCGGGCATCGGAGAAGCTAAGTGTTCACCCACCAGGCACTCAGACGTGCCAGGCGCTGGGGCATCAGCCCACAGGCCCATCTCAACCACCACAGCTACGTCCTCCATCAGCCAGGGCCTGGGCCTCACGCATCAGACCGGGGCTTCCTGAAGAGGAAGCAACCATGCAAGAGGAAGAGATTCTGTCACCCTCACCACACGAGGGCTTCTAGGCAGGGCTGTGACATTTCACTCTCAGCCCCCCAGCTCTAACTTAGGCCCACACGTGGGGCTCATGCTGCCATTCCCAGTGAGCCCCCGTAACGGGCATCAAGGGAGGTCAGAACTTCGCATGGAGCCAGCACCCTGGCAAAGGGCACCTGAACCAGGCCAGAGCCAGCCGGGGGCCTGGGGCACCTTCGGCTGGGACAAAGCCAGAGCCTCGAAGTGGGGAGGGAGCCTAAACCCAGCAGGGCTGGGCCGCTACGGAGCGCGAGCGTCCGCACGCAGCCCAACACTCCGGGCCCCTGTCCAGGGAGGGGACTCTGAAGGCCCCATCCCCCACCAGGTGTGGGATGGTCCCTGCAGCAGAGGGACGTAATGCGGTTCAAAAAGCTGCCTGACCTTGAGCTTGAGCCCTCAAAGCCCGTTTTCCATCTATAACATGGCCATCCTAATGGCACCTACTCAACAGGGCCCAGCCCAGCACACAGGAAGCGCTCAATAAATGTCAGCCACGTGCCGCGGTACACACAGGGCCCCCACAGGTATGACCCAGCACAGGACTGGGGGAGACTGGCCCTGCTTGCCCTCGCTGCCCACCTAAACCTGAGATGCCTCTTGGCGGTCTCCCCAGACCCCAATTCCTGCCTTCTCTCCCCCAACCACACCCAGGCCACCTGCTGTGAGCCGCTGCCTGGCCCTGTTCCCATGACCCTATCTACAGTCAGCCTGGCTTTCAAGGCTCTTCGTAAGCGGCCCCATCTTGGGAGCAGCCCAGACACTCAAGGCCAGGCCTGTGCACACACCTGTGGCCCTTTCCTGACCTTCCTCTGTCTTCAAGACTCAGCTCCAGGGCATCTCCTCCACGAAGCCTTTCGTGTTGAGTCTCTCCTCCTTCCGGCACTTTGTACCTTCTGGTCAAAGCCCTTATTACCACCAGGGCCTGGCAGCCATCTCCCCGCCCCTGGATGGCAAGGACCAGAGCTGGCTCGCCCCCATCCGGGACACCCCACACAGCATGGGCCAGCGGAGGCAGCGCTCAGCAAATATATGCAGCAACAAGTTAGGGCGGTGGCGCCCCCTCTTGGCAGAGGCTCCTTGCTGTCCCTGAGGCAGGAAGAGGAGATTGGGAAAGGCTGAGACCCGGCTCCTCTCCCTGACTGGCCGGTAGGCACCCACAGGGTCATGGCCAATAAGGAAGCCTCAGAACCGGATCTGGGAGACAAACTGAGATTGGGGTCCAGAACTAGAGCTCGGGGCTGGGCCCTGCCCCCCTCTCCTCCCTTCCCACCGTTCTTTCAGCTCCTTCCTGCTCCCTGCCCCAGTCCCCACCTCGTTTTCTGCATGTCATTATCCCCTGATCGTTTTCTGCATGTCACCTCCTCCATGAAGGTCTCCCTGACCTGCAGGGAGATTTGGATGTGCCTCTCCTCCAACTGAAAATTACCAAAGTTAACCTTTATTATTCTCTTACCACATGCCAGACTTAACCTCCATTAATTACACCATCCTGGAAGGAAATACGAAATAGTAATGTCGTCCCATTTCACAGATGAGGTAACTGAGGCGCAGACAAGCTTAAGATGCAGAACCAAGATCTGAACCTTAACTTTTCTGCTTCTTCCTGAGCACAGAGGGGCCGGGAGCCTGTCAGAGCGTCATCCTCGCTGCTGTGTCCTCTCTCCATGAGAAGCAGGTGAGAAAAACAGAGGTCCCCAGGATGCTCCTGCTCGGCTCTGCCATATCCCCCGACCTTTCGGTCCCCGCCTGGGGCCCGGATCCCCATCCACTGCTGTCGCCCAGAGCAGCCCAGACCCCAGCACCTCGGGAATGAGGACAGAAAAAGGTCTCGCCGGGAGGTACCATTTCCAGGCTGTTCGGAGTCACGAGGAAGGCCCCAGGTGCACCCGGCTGCACCTGCGTCCCGCTCTGGAGTGGGGGCGGGGGGCGGGCACATGGAGGGAGGGGAGCTGATGTCTTCTGAGAGGCCGAGGTCTCAGCTGCAGGCCCTCCTTGAGGCTCCCAGGGACAGAGGCCTCAGACGCTAGCGTGTGTCCCAAGAGGGTGGGGGGCTGGCCCTGGCGCCCCTCTCACTCCCCACTCCCTGAAGTCGGTGGGTCAGGGCTCCGGGGAGAGTCAGCCAAGGGGTTTCGGAGGCAGGTAGGGAGGCAGCTGGGCGGGGAGGTCAAGGCCCCCTGGGCTTCCTCCACGGTCCAGTCCAGGGTCGGCAGCACCGTGTCTGCCCACAGCTGTCCCTTCCTGGGTGTGGCATCTGGAGGTCCTGGTTCGTCCGGGGTGCGGCCTGGGGCCCTGTCAGCTGTGGAGCAGGGGCTGGCGCTCTGCCGAGGTGGCAGCGTTCCTGTACATCAGGAACTGTATGGAGATCTAGAGGGGCCAGTGTCAAGGCCAAACCGAGCAGAGGCTGGGACGGATGTGCCCCGGACAACCCTGGCTCCCTCCAAAGCTGCTCCCGTTCCTCTCAGTCACCCCCACTCTGAGAGGCCAAGGTCTCAAGCTGCAGCCCCTCCTTCAAGGCTCTCAGGGACAGCTGCCTCCACATTCCAGCTTGCACTCCTCTGGCCTGGATGGGCTGATTTCCCCTTATTCCTCAGGGCCTTTGCACAAGCTGAGTCTAGACCACCCCTCCCTTGCCTCTGCCTGACTTCTTCTTCTCCCTGGGGGCAGTTTAATTTTTTTTTTTTAATGTTTATTTATTTTTGAGAGAAAGAGGAAGAGAGCACCAGCGGATTCGGGCAGAGAGTGGAGGGGACAGTTGATTCCAAGCAGGCTCTGTGCTGATAGCACAGCGCCCCATGTGGGGCTTGAACTCACAAACCATGAGATCATGACCTGAGCTGAAGTCAGACACTTAACCGACTGAGCTACCCAGGCACCTCTTCGGAATGCGGTGGCCTTGGCTGACCTTCTAAACTAAAACAGCCCTCGGGCGCTACACTCTGATCACTCCATGTGTGCTAACTGCCCCCTCACTGAGCTGTAAGCTTCCTGAAGTGAGGGCCATTCTGTTCCTGCTCACCGCCCGGTCTGGTGCCTAGCGGGGTGCTTGGATGGGTGGGTGCTGAGCCGTGTGCAGGAGAAGGCTGCCCTGCCTGGCCCCCCGTCCCTGTCCCTGAAAGATAGATGGTGTCCAGAAGCACACCCCGCCCACCTTCCGCCCCGCCCTCCGTCCCTGAAGGATACGATGGTGTCCAGCAGCAGCACGCCCAGGCTGCCCACGAGCCAGGGCAGGTGGTGCAGCAGGTAGCTGCCCTCACTCTGACCCACCTCGGGGTTCTTGAGCAGCACACTCAGCCCGTAGAGCGTGTTCCCCAGCATCACCAATGCAAACAGCGAATAGGAGACGCCCTGGGTCGACTTCCTCAGGAACTGGGGGGTGAGGAGGGGGTGGGGTCAGAAGCCACAGACAGGGCTCTTGTCACCTGGGTTGTCACTGTCCACATGTCCCCATCACCCTGGGCATGCACGGAGCTCATGTCTCCCTGTGAGCACTCCTACGCCTGCTCAGGGCCCACGGGACACTGGTCCCGTGATGGCCCGCTCTCCCGCCCCACCGGGACCCTCGCTGACCCGCAAGCCTCCCCAGCCCCAACACGCCACTCTCTCCTCTGCTCTCAGGACTCTGGGCCCAGCCCCTGACCTCACGTGACCTCCCGCTCCTCTGAGACACACACAGGACATGTGCCCACAAACGGCCCATGCCCACTTCCCAGAGGCAGAGACCGAGGCTTCGGGGACTGGGTTCGCTTGCTGACAGTGCATGCGGGCCCAGACCTTCTGCAGGACCCCACACCTCAACCCAAACGGTCCACCCACCCCTGCCCCAGGCTCACGTTCGTGCAGATCTGAGGCAGCCGGGAGAACAGGTAGAGAACGCTGGAGATGGAGCCGATGACGAAGCCGATGATTTCCTGCCGAGTGAAGGGCTGGAAGGGAAGGGGTGCTCAGTGCCTAACAGGCCAGAGGAGCAGCCTGAGACCCCAGGCTCCCTGGGAGAGGGCCATGCCCACCCCCCTGGCCATGCAGAGCAGGGTCCTTGGGACACCGAGCCGGTTCCCAACCCGCCCTCCACCCACCAGACCCACACCTCACCTTACTGCCTGGCTCCACGGACAGGAGCGTCCGGCCCCGGAAGACCTTGCTCGGCGCAGTCGCAGGGCCAGCGCCCTTCAGCAGCGGGGAGGTACACACCATTGCCAGGGTGAACAGCAGCAGACAATTGATGGGGGTAGACACTGGGCACGAGGCAGGAGGAAAGCCGAGGTTAGGTCATTGGTGGCAGCAAAGAGACCAGGACTTGAGTCCTGACCTTGCCCTTCAGTGGCTGTGTGACTCTGGGCAAGCGATCTAACCTCTCTGAGCTTTAATTCCTCATCTAGGCAATGGGTGTAGTAATAGCACCCTTCTCCTAGGGCTGTAAAGGAGAGACAAAGGCAGTAGGACCATGAGAGGGGGTGACCCCGCGCAGAAGTGCTAGTGAGACAGCCTCGCCCCCAAGTGCCTCCCTCTGACCTCCCCCTCCTCAATCCTCAAGGGCAGTGAGGGCCTGTTCCTCAGCTCCAAGCCCAGGGCCAGGCACCGAGAAGCAGCTGAAGCCACGTTTGCTGGACGAGAGCTCCAGAGAAGGGGAGGCCCTGCGGTCCTGCCCGGAAGCGCCAATGGCCCTCCAGCCTCTATCTTGGCCGGCTGAGGCTCAGGCTTGCAGATAAGGCCCTACGCTGAGTTTATCTGAGTTTATCGCTGGGTTCATCACTGAGCAATGAGAAACCCACTTCCTCCCAGGCTGCCCGCTCTCCCGCTGTCCCCAGCGCGGCCGACAGAGGGACCCCGTACTTACAGAGCGAGGGGCGTTTCTTAAATTTGTAGTGAAAGTACAGCGACAGCATCAGCAGGTCCGCCAGGACGTAATATATCGCCGTGTAGGTCTGCAAGAGAAACAGGGCTCCCAGGCTCCGCGGACCTGACCGCAGGGCCGCGCTGGGTCAGCCACCGGCTGGCCCGACCACCTCATTTCACCTCTCTGACCTTCTGTCTCCTCCTCTGGGAAGGAGGGGTGTGGTCTCTACCTGGCAGAGATGAGGCAGGCAGAGGGCCCGGCCTGGGCAGAGGGAGGAAACGTGGAGGCCACAGACCGGGACTCGGAGGTCAAGTGAGGGCTCTGGCCTGGCTGCTACAGGAAGCATCCAGGCTTTGGAATGCTCCTGGGGAAGCCTGTGGAATCCTGTGATTCCCGGCGCCTGGACCCCCCAAAGGAAATCCTGCCTCCTCTGGGGCCCGCACCCTGACAGCTCGGCCAGGATCTCAACACCCCAGAGCACTCCTCTGGTTTGATGTGCTCATTGTGCAGATGGAGAGACTGAGGCCCGGACAAGGGCACCGACCGACCCCTCGTCACGCCGCACAGCAGGGCGGAGGACGCTCTTCGTGGGGTGGGGCCGTGGCCAGATGGAACCCCGGGTCGGGACGCTGGAACGGGAGCCCCGTGCTGGCTGTCTCAGGCAGCCCACCTGCCTGCCGTCTGGCCCACCTGCAGGGGCAGCTGGTCGGCGAGGAAGGAGCCGATGAGGTTACAGGAGTCTCCGCCAATCCAGCCCAGCAGGAACCACAGAGAGAGCGCCTGGTCCATGTTGCCTGTCTTGCAGGCCTTGATGTACTGGCTGTGGCAGAGGAAGGAGACGACACTCAGGGGGGAGGGGGGCAGGGGCCGCAGAAGGACAGGATGTCACCCGGGAACCCTGTGGGAGGTGCCTCTTTCCAGAATCACCCATAGCAGTACTCAGATCCCCCTCTGGGGCACCCTGGTGTCTCCCAGCGGGAACGTGGAGTTTTCACGGGGTCCGGAAGTTCTGTGCCAGGCCCTGAGACCACTCACAGGTCTTTCTTCTGAGGAGGGGGAGGCGGTTCAAAGGATGGTGGCAGCAAGCACAGGCTGGGGCTGCATGATCTCCAGGAGCTGCTGCTGAGAAGATGGGCCCAACCACAGCCTGTACCTTCGAAGGGCAATGGGAGGGACACCTGGTGGCCCAGTGGGTTAAGCATTGGACTTGGGCTCAGGTCATGATCTCACGGTTTGTGAGTTCGAGCCCTGTGTCGGGCTCTGTGCTGACAGCTCAGAACCTAGAGCCTGCTTCAGATTCTGTGTCTCCCTCTCTCTCTGCCCCTCCCCAGCTCACACACACTCTCTCTCTCTCTCAAAAATAAGCAAATATTAAAAAAAAAGGGGGAGGAGGGCAATGGGGAAGGCCGGGGCTGGGACCCCCCAGAGCTCTCTGTCACTAGGCCAGTGGCTTCTGATACACTGGGGGTTTTGCCAAAGGCTCTCTTTGGACCCCTGGCCAAGTCTCAGCGTGAGCTCAGTGCCAACGATGGGTAGAATTCTGGGCCCTCTGTGCGTCTGGACTCACCCAGTCCTCAAAGAACCCCCACAGGGCCGGACTGTGTAGCCATGCTCCTCATGGGGGCTGGGCACGTCCTGTCACAGCCAGACCCTGAGGCTCCGGTGGCCCTTAACCTTTACACAACTGCCATTAAGCCTTTACATTTCTGTTTAGTCGTTGGTGTGTATTTAAATTAAAGGAGACTAAGTGGCACCTCCTCACGGCCCCTCCTCCTCCGCCATCACCCACGTCAGAAACTGAGGAAGCAGAGGGCATGGCCTGGTTCTCCCCGCGGCCACCCCTCCCTCGCCTCCTCCTGCTGAGCGCCCCCTGCCGGTCCAGCCACCTCGGAGTCTCCTATCCGTGCCCGGTTCCCCCTCGAAACTCTCTGTCCTCCCTCTTAAGGATCTTTCTAAAACCCCGGTCTTGCCAAAGTCGGTCAGAGCCTTCCACTGCCGTCCAGTGAGGAGCCACGTGTCCTCACATGGCCCCCAGGTCCGGCTGTCCCCCCGCCCCCTCCACCAGGACCCATTTCCCTTTCTCCAGCCTCTTCACGGAGGGCGGCCGGCCGGCCCACTCCCTCCTCTTCCTCTTTGCGCTTCTCGGCTCAAGAACTATCACTTCCTCCCCCCGGCTTCCTTGCAGCGAGCTCGCCAGTGTCTCCTACTTCTCCTCTGTAACCCGGGACATCCCCGTCCCTCCGGGACTCAAGCTTCGTGAGGGCAGGAACGGTGTCCAGCACAGGCCTGGCACCATGGAGGCCCCAAGTTAAGGTCGATCCTATGGCCCCGAAAGCCCTTCTGGGACACGTGACCTGGGAAGACCCCATAAATTTCAGGGAGTGATTTTGCCGCCCTCGAGAAAGACTGAGTCCTGCAGAGGAGCAGGAAGGGGACTGGCCTTCCTGCTGTCGCCTGGGGCTCGCTCTCCAGCCTCTGACCCCCCTCACTGGTTACTCAGCCAGCTCCTCAGATAGTCCTAGAGAAGCTCTCACCCTGGAACAAGGCATCTCGGCCCCTCGGCCTCATCAGTCGCCCGTGCCTGTCCGGTCAGCCTGTGAAGGGCCTCTCCAATCCCCGCTAACATGGCTGCTTGCGGGGTGGCCCCCCCAGCCTCCAGTCCTTCTTCCCTGTGACTCCCAGACTGCCTTTTGTTGTTGATTTCTTTGTTTTGAAAAAGAGAGAACAGGGGAGGGGCAGAGAGAGAGAGAGGGAGAGAATCCCAAGCAGGCTCCATGCTGTCAGCACAGGGCCTGATGTGGGGCTTGAGCTCACTAGCTGTGAGATCGTGACCTGAGCCAAAAGTAAGAGTCTGATGTTTAACTGACTGAGCCACCCAGGCGCCCCTCCCAGACAGCCTTTTAAAGGGAGCCAGCAGGTCATATCACAGTTTGTGAGATCAAGCCCCACAGTGGGTCATGTGCTGACAGCTCAGAGCCTGCTTGGGACTCTCTCTCTCTGCCCCTCATCCACTGGCAGTATGCACACTCTCTCTCCCTCAAAATAAATAAATAAACTTAAAAATAAATAAATAGGGGCGCCTGGCTGGCTCGGTCGGTTGAGCACCAACTTCAGCTCAGGTCACGATCTCACAGCTCATGAGTTTGAGCCCCACACCGGGCTCTGTGCTGATGGCTCAGAGCCTGGAGCCTGCTTCAAATTTTGTGTCTCCTTTTTTCTGCTCCTCCCCTGCTCACTCTGTCTCTCTCAAATATAAAACAAAACATATGAAATTTTAAATAATAAATAAATAAATAAATAAATAAATAAATAAATAAAGGGAGCCAGAATAGAAGCCCTGCAAAGGCAAGGATGACATCTGTTTTGACTATTTGCAACGTGCCCCCAATGGAATAAGCCAATTCAGTAACAATGTCAAGCCCGTGGCCGCGTTCTAGGACAATTCAATGAGGGGAATCATAGTCTTTTAAAAGCAGGGTCCTGGGATAACTAGTATCTCCGTGCCAAAGAAAGAGATGGAACCCTCACCTCACACCATATACAAATATAACTCAAACTGTAGCAAAGACCCATCAGAAAGAAAACCACCAGCCCAAGATGGAGTCACTCAGGCCAAACAGGGGCTTAATCACTAACCTAACTGCATTTCAACCTCTCCCAGAAACTTGGTCTTAATTGGTCAGGAATTTTCTGATCAGCAGCAATGAGGTAATCTGTCCCCTCCATCCCCCACGAAAGGAAGATGAGGTCATGTACCAAGTGAGACCCTGTGCAAGAAAGTGAATTTACCTGATATCACCCTTTCTCTCTCTCTCTTTTTCCTGCTAATAATGTCTTGCCCCAAACCTCTTCCTTATAATAACTTTGCATTTTATAAAACTCTTTAGAACATCTGTTTGCTAGATGAATTGCTGCCCAATTCGTGAATGGCTTCATAGCACCTGGATCTTCAATTCTGCTCAGCGGAATTTTGTTTTTTAACAGACCTAAATTTAAAAGTAAGTTTGTCATGCTGCGATTTATAATAAGAAATCTAGATTTGGTCTTCACCCCCGTTCCTGGCAGCGAGCTCCTAAAAAACCTTGCAATTTCCTAAGTGATTAGAACAAGAAAGGTGACTTTTGTTATGTTCGTGAGGTCAAGTTTTGGGAAGCTTCTGGGTCATCCAACGAGGAGGGCTGGTCACCAGGATGTGATTAAACCCTTGGAACTTTCAGGCCCAATCCAGTCACCTCTGGGGACGGGAGAGGGGCTGGAGATCAATGGCCCTGATTTCCTCAAGCGTGCCTGTGTAGCGAAGCCTCCATAAGAATTCAAACGGACAGGTTCCGAGAGCTTCCGGGTTAGTGAGCCCGTGGAGATTCAGGGAGTGTGGTGTGCTGGGAGAGCATTAAAAGCTCCATGTCTTCTGTGTGGATGTCCGTGAGTTACATCCTTTTGTGATAAACTGGTGACCCGGTAAGTAAAAAGTTTCTCTGACTTCTGTGAGCCACTCTAGCAAATTAATCAAACCCCAGTGGGTCTGATCTGTCGCTCTGTCTACACCTACCAGAAGCACAGGTGACAAGCTAGACTTGCAAGTGAGCTCTGAAGGGGGGGGGGGGGGGGGNGGGGGGGGGGGGGAGGCAAGCTTGTGGGACTGAGCCCTTAACCTGTGGGATCAGACGCTGTCCCAGCGTAGACAGGGTCCAAACTGAGTTGAGTGCATGGTGGTGTGGGGAAAAAATACACGTGGACGCTGGTGTCAGAAGCAGGTAAATCTCGAGAACTCTTAGAAGAAAAGATAATGAAAGAGGGCTACACCTGTGTCCATTCTGACCTCAAACTTTCTAATTGATTAAGTTCTTCTTTCCAGCTCATCCCAGAACTCAGGCAAAAAGACCCTGTGGGCAAAGCATCCCAGGAAGGGAACCGAAACTACCCCCACGGGCAACAAAGACAGCCCTGAGTCAGCAAGACCCGGAATGATGGACCCCATGACAAGGACTGACCTGACCCTCACTGCCCACCAGCACGTACCCACTGACCCCTGTCCGCACATTTTTCTTATATAAACCTAGACAAATTTTCAGCACCATGGAGACAGTCCTTCAGATGCAAGTCCCAGGTCTTCCCAGGGTCAGCCTCACAGAAACAAATTCCGTTTCCGGTTCACCACCACTCAGTGTCTCTGCCTGCGGATTCTGTCAGCGGTGAGTGGCCGAACCCGGTCTGGGTGGGACCCCCGAGGCCAGGTGCTCTTGTGCCCCTGCGCCCCAATTACGTTAAGGGCAAATCTCTGTTACTTGGATTAGACTACGATGCTTTTTTAGATTGGTCACCAAAAGCACAAGCAACAAAAGAAAAAAAGATTTAAACTGGGCACTGTCCAAATGTAGGACTCCGTGCTTCAGAGGACGCCATCGCAAAAGTGAAAAGAGAACCCAGAGGAGAAAATATTTGCAAATGATGTGTCAGATTAGGCTGCTGTATCTAGAATACATAAAGAACCCTTATGACTCAAGAACAAAAAGACAAATAATCTACTTGACACATGGGCAAGGGGTCTGAATAGACCTTTTTCTAAAGAAGATACACAAATGGCCAAAAATCACATGAAAAGCTACTTTAACATCACTAGCCATCAGGCAAATATGAATCAAAGCTATGATGCGGTAACACTGCAAACCCTTTAGGGTGGCTCCAATAGAAAAGAAAAGACGCATCGATGGGGATTTGAAGACACTGGAATCTCGCACACATGGCTCCTGGGAATGTAAAATGGTGCAGCCTCTTTGGAAAACAGTCTGGCAGTTCCCTGTTAAAAAGAAAACCGGGGCACCTGGGTGGCTCAGTCGGTTAAGTGTCCGACTTCAGCTCAGGTCATGATCTCATGGTTCGTGGGTTCAAGCCCCACATCAGGCTCTGTGCTGACAGCTCAGAGCCTGGAGCCTGTTTCAGATTCTATGTCTCCCTCTATCTCTGATCCATCCTCCTCTGCTCATGCTGTCTCTCTGTCTCTGTCTCTCTCTCTCAGAAATAAATAAAACATTAAAAAACTTAAAATGAAAGAAAGAAAGAACAAAAGAAAGTAAGAAAGAAAACCACAGGGGGTGCCAGGCTGGCTCAGTCGGTGGAGCTTGTGACTCTTGATCTCAGGGTTGTGAGTTTGAGCCCCAAGTTGGGTACAGAGATTACTCAAAAATAAAATTCTTTTTTTTTAAGTTTATTATTATTATTATTATTTTTTTTTTTTGAGAGAGAGAGAGAAAGAGTGAGCACAAAGCAGGGAGGGGCAGAGAGAAGGAAAGACAGAATGCCAAGCAGGCTCCACACCATCAGCACAGAGGCTCAAACTCACAAACTGTGAGATCATGACCTGAGTCAAAATCAAGAGTCAGACGCTTAACAACTGAGCCACCCAGGCATCCCTTAAAATAAAAATCTTTGAAAAAGGGGCGACTGGGTGTCTCAGTCAGTTAAGCATCCAACTTTGGCTCAGGTCATGATGTCAGGGTTTGTGAGTTCGAGCCCTGCGTCGGGCTCTGTGCTGACAGCTCAGAGCCTGGAGCCTGCTTCAGATTCTGTCTCTCCCTCTCTCTCTGCTCCTCCCCAACTCGTGCTCTGTGTCTCTCTCTCAAAAATAAACATTAAAAATAAAAATGAAAAAAGAAATCTTAAAAAAAAAAGAGAGAGAAAATGAAAAAAACCGCAGGCCCACAATGACATCACCAGGGCCAGGCCACGTCATGACACTAGGGCTTAATAATGTTTTTTAAACATCCTTAAAAGACTAAACACAGAGTTACCACATGACCCAGCAACTTCGCTACTTAGGCATATACCCAAGAGAAGTGAAAACACATGCACCCACAAAAACTTGCACATGAATGCTCACAGTGGCCTTAACTTTAAGAGTCAAAAAAAGTAGAAACAGACCAAATGCCCTTGAACGAATGAATGAATGAATGAATGAATAAAAGGTGGGGGATCACACACTGGAATATTATTCAGACACAAACAGGAAGGAAGTCCTCGCACCTGCCAAATACGCAGGAGCCTTGAAGACATGCCATTAAGTGAAAGAAGCCAGGCTTTCAAATACTCCATGATTCCATTTACCTGAAATGTCCAGAGTAGGCAAATCCATAGAGACAGAAAGTAGGCTCGTGGTTGCCAGGGCCCGGGAGTTTCAGGGGAAATAAGGAATGACTCATTGCTTTGGGGCTTTCTTTTTAGGGTGAAGAAAATGTCCTAAAACCGATTAAGGCGATGGTTACACAACTCTGGCTATATGGAAAAACACTGAATTATACATGTAAATAGGCTAGTTATATGGTATGCGAGTTATCTCTCCATAAAGCTGTTTTAGAAAAATGCCGAGCTCCTGATTAAATCCTTATCTTTCTCCCTCAGGATGAAGAGCACGTTTCCTGACAGTGGAGAAGGCCTCACAGTACAGGGCCCTTGCTGAGCTCTTTTGACCTCACATGTCCCAGCGTCCCTGACCGGCACACGCTCCGTCCAGTCATGGGGTTGTCCGCACAACGTGCAAAGGGCCCGAGCCCGGTGCTTTATGTACTCTCCCTCCCGCCATCCTCCTCGCAGCCCCGGCAGCTAGGGAACAACATTCCCATTTTGCAGATGAGGAAGCTGAGGTACGGAGCAGCAAAGTGACTCTCCTAGGTTACAGTGTGTCCTCGTTCCCAAGTCATGGCAGTGGCCACGCTGTTTTGTAATCACTGCTTGTCGCACCTGCCACACTGTCACAGCACAAGGGCTGGGGCTTGGTGCATCTCAGCCCTCCCACCCCTCTGCTTCCTCTCTTCTAGCTGTGCAACCTCGAGCAAGTCACTTAGCCTCTCTGGGTTTCCGTTCCCTCATAAAGCAGGGACGGTAGCTGTCCTATTTCACAGGGTTGTTCTTATGAGGATTAAATGAAGTAAAAAACATGTCAAGCGCCTGGAACTCAGCCACATACACAGCGGACCCCGAACACACAGCAGCAAAGGTTCATATTCTTGTTATTATCATCTGTGTGTCAGCCTAGGGTGGGGTTCAGAGCAGGGCCCTCCAGGGCAGGCTGGAAGTCAGTGAGTGGGAATGGAGGGAGCACATATGACCTTGAATCTGGAGAGGCCCCTCCGAACAGTGCCTGAAGCCATGGCCCCACCCCACACCCCTGGCCCGCCTGCGCCCCCCTGCCGGTACTCACGGGAAAGTGGATGCCGCAAAACAGAGAATGGAGATCAGGCCCAGGCCCACGCTGGCCTCATCCCAGCCGTCCTGGGCGCATTCCCCAAACACGTCCCATATCCACTCGAGGGAGCCGTTGGGGCAGCTGGAGAAGTTGCCGGAGCCCAGTTTCTTCCAGACCATGGCTGCTGTGGGACAGAGGAAGGGTCATACAAGGAGAAAGAGAGGGGGCCTTCAGCTCTGGCAGTTCTGCATCCCATGGCCTCCCAGCTACATCCCCAGTTTTAACACCTGGCACAGACCAAGCCTCTGAACCCGAGGACACAATCAGCCTGATGGACAGAGATCACAGCCCACGCGTGCCAATGACACGGGCAGGGAGAGCGCTGATCTGCGGTCAGGGACAAGTGTGTTCAAATCCCAGCTTTCCCACTCGTTAGTGCTGTGGCTTTGGGCAGATGCCACCTCCCCCCCCCCACCCCGCTTCAATACCCTCATCTCATCTGTAAAAGGGGTGGTAACAGAGCTGCCCTCATACAGATGTGCCACCAGGGTTAAAGGAGTCCATACAGTGCGGAGACCAGAGCCCTCAGAGGCACCTCTGTTGGAGCTCTTGAACATGTATGTTGTTTCCAATCTGTTTTGTCAATTTCTCCAGGAGGGTCTGCTGAGACCAGGCCCCGTTGAGCACATTGTCTCATTTAAAGTAGGGCTGTCCGCCAGCATCGCTCAGAGGATAACGGCCAGGCGGGTCCAGGGGCCGCACAGGTGGCTGGGATCCGAGCGTGGCACTCACGCAGAATTCTCCAGGAGCAACGTGTGTGGGATGTCTGCTGGCCCAGGGTCCAGAGCCACCTCCCCATTCTCACCACCAGCAAAGCCAGAAGGTGGCTGGTTGCGGGAACAGGCAGGAAAGGCTCCTCCCGGTGCCTGAGCACCCTGCAGTGACTACAGCAGTCCCTGTCTGTGTGACAGTCCACGAGAAGGGAGAGAAAGTGGAGCCAGATGGCGCCATCTCTACCGGGCAAGACCCACCATAGCCCCTGATCACTAAGCTCTTTGTCGGCTCTGTGCTAAGCACCTTGCACGCATTTACTCACGCTGTCCTCATTTCAACTCTGTGACCGGGGACCGGGGGTTGGGGGGTCTTGATACATCTAAGGGACCAGGGAAGTGACTTGTACCCAGCCAGGAAGCAGCAGAGGCTGGAGTCAAAGCGGGGACTGGGACCCACATGTTGGCTCATAGCCACCCTGCGATGCTGCCCCAGGGGCTTGTCCCTGCGTGTGGCCGAGCTCTCCTGTGGTCTGGCCTGACTGCCCTGGCCTCCCCGCAGCCAGAAGGCTTCCCCTTCTCCCTCTGTGCTCAGAGCCGCTCCTCACCGGACTGAGACTGTCTCCAGCCACCCTCAGTTCCTACTCAGAAGTCCCAGGATCCTCATAAAGCAGTGCCCTGTGCTACTGACCAAATATTTGTGTGCTCCCCAAATTCATACATTGAAACCTAACCCCCACCCCTGTGATGGCATTAGGAGGTGGGGCTGTTGGGAGGTGCTTGGGTCAGGAGAGCAGAGCCCTCATGTATGGGACGAAGGCCCTTATAAAAGAGACCCCAGGGGCACCTGGGTGGCTCAATCGGTTAAATATCTGAGTTCAGCTCAGGTCATGATCTCATGGTTTGTGGGTTCGAGCCCCATGTCAGGCTCTGTGCTGACAGTGAGCTCAGAACCTGGAGCCTGTCTTCAGATTCTGTGTCTCCCTCTCTCTCTGACCCTCCTCTGCTCACGCTGTCTCTGTCTCTCTCTCAAAAAATAAATAAAACATTAAAAAAAAAGATTAGAAAAAGAGAGAGAGACCCCAGAGAGTTCCCTCACCTCTTCTGCCATGTGAGGGAGGACACAGCGAAAAGACAGCCACCTGTGAATTCTGGACACGCGTCCTCCATGGTTCCAAGACCACCAGGGGGCGGACCCTCACCAGACACCGAATCTGCTGGTGCTTTGAACTTGGATTTCCAAGCCCCGAGAACTCATAAAAAATCAAAGTTTGTTGTTTATAAGCTACCTGATCTTTGGCATTTTATCACAGCACCCAAAGGGACTGTCACCCTGGCCGGACCCTTGGACGTGCTGAGATCGCAGCACCCTGGGAGCGTCGGGGAGGGAAAGGAAGCGAGTCAGCTTCTTTTCTTGGGAAGTCTGAGACGCTCAGCCCTACTGTGACCGGCCACAGGCAGAGGCCCTGAGCTGGGGGTAAGGGCATCCAAGTCACTGTGTGCTCGGTTCTCTGCAGTATCCGCAGGGCCCAGCAAGGGTGCTGAGAGCCTCTTCCTGCATCCTGGTAACCCACCCTGTTGACCTTCAGCACGGCCCATGTGGGAGCTGTTTACCCGTTACCTGTTTACCTGCTACTAGCACCTGCAAGGCCGCCCAGGGTAACAGACAGTCCAGGTAAGAACTGTATCTTTGCTGGGCTCAAGGCATTTCAAAGCAAGTCCTTCTGTCCCCTAGCCACCTCCCAACTGGACCTCCCACCTCCCTCTTACAGACCCTGAGTGTGCCAATCCAGCCCATCTCATTAATACATCGCCAACCTTGTAACTTCCCTGTGAGGTAGCAGAGACTGTCCGCACTTTCCGGATAAGGTCGTGTGGCCGTGCCCAAGTGAGGAACTGTCTGAGCTTCTCTATAAAATGGGGATGATGACACTCACCCCATGGGGGTTTGGGGTGCAGATGAAGTGCCCATAAGGCTCTTAGCCCAGTGCCTGACCAATGCAAGCTGGTGACTGTTTGGGGAAGAATCCAGTAGCTCAACCACCCTGAGGCCACCCCCCAATCCCCCCCTTTTCACCAGTTTGGGGAGGAAATAAGGCGAGTACCTGCCCAGTCAGGGAAGGGGGTGTCTTGAGGATCGTAGCTTGGCTCAGAGGGCCCAGAACAGACAGGTTGTCTCCTATCCCTGCACAGGGCATATGCACAGCTCAGGGCACTCTGAGACACGCATGAATCCTAACTAGAGGGGCCTTCCCCTGAGGGCCGCTGCACACAGGGCCAGGCACCTATAGGTTCTGACCCAGCTAAGGAGCCAGCCTGGGCCCCAGGCTTGGCTTCTGGAAAGGAGCCCACCTCCTGGCCAAATAGCACCATGAGAATAGACGTCCAGGGTTCCAACAAAGCTTGACTGCGTCTGTAGGTGTGACAAGGACCACAGCAGGTGTCTGGGAACCACAGAGGGCACATGTCCAGAATTCAGGAGCAGTGTCTCTGGACTACAGACCAGGGCCTTTGGGTTTACGAAGCAGCCCCAGGGGCGCCTGGCTGGCTCAGTTGGTAGAGTATGCGACTCTAGATCTTGGGGTTGTGAGTTCAAGCCCCGCATGGGTGTAGAGAGTACTTAAAAATAAAATCTTGGGGCATCTAGGTGGCTCAGTCGGTTAAGCATACGACTTTGGCTCAAGTCATGATCTCGTGGTTGGTGGTTTGAGCCCCACATCGGGCTCAGTGCTGACAGCTCAGAACCTGGATCCTGCTTCAGATTCTGTGTCTCCCATTCTCTCTCTCTCTCCCTCAAAAATAAATAAATACTTAAAAAATTAAAAATAAAATCTAATAAATAATTAAAAAAAAAAGCAACCCGGGCTGATTGTGGTGCACACGGCCACTTTGAGAAAGGCCATGCTGGAGAAGGCATCTCCTGCCATGCGCAAGCTCCTCACTCAGATCCCAAGCTGAGTCAGGGAGATGCTCCCCTTGGAAGCTGCAGGCCTTCAGGCTTCCGCACATGTGGTCTCTTCCCCGAGGAGTGTCCTTCTCCCCCTGGAGGGCCTGGTAAGGAGACACTGAGACCCAGTTCTAACATGTCCTCTCAAAGAGGTCTTGCAAAACCTGGCTGGATGACACCTATCACCCCTCCCCCTCCCCCATCCACCTACCTGAAGAATGCTTATCACATTCCTCAGCTAATCTTGCTCTTCAGGCCCTACCTCTCTCTTCACCCTAGCTGTGACTGACCTACAGGGCTGGAAACTCCAGCCACACAATAAAGGTTCCAAAAGTGTTGAGGAAGAAAGGAAGACAGAGAGAGGGGAATATAGAAAGGAAAGCAAGGGAAAGAACGAAGGAAGGGAGGAAGGAAGAAAGGAAGGCAGGAAACTAGTTGTGAGCTCAGATGACCTACGTTTGAGGAGAGAACACCCTAGAACTGACCTGCCTGGTGCCTACAAGGTATAGAACTCCAGGCCAAGTGACTGAGCCTCAGAGTTCCAATCTGTGCAATGGGGGGATAACCTAGGTATCCACCTCCTAGACTGCAGAATCGCAGACGGCAGAATTAAATGACATAATTCAGGCCAAGAGATCAGAATGGTGCCTGGCACAGGCTAAACACTGGTTGCATCGTGTCCCCCGCTGCTCTACCGCCCTCCCCGAGTCCCTGGCGCAAAGCAGCCTTCGGTGAGTGTTGAATGGACAAGCCCCGCGCCAGTCCTCAGGCTTCCAAACCCAGCCTCCCCGTGTACACACTTTAAAACCTGTCCTAGGCTGAGGGGAGGAGGCAATCTGGGCTCCCAACAGAACCGCGGCGTATGTGGAGGGGAGGGGCGTCCCCGCTGGTGGATACCACCCACTCCAGGCTTCTGGGTCCGTGGCCACCTGGTGACTCAGCCCAGCGCGAGCCGCCTGTTTGGCGGGGATAATGACAGGGCAGCTGCTGGGGTCAGCGCTCAATCGCCGCGAGGCCCCCTCCCCTAGCCTGCCCTGGAGAAAACAAAGCCGTCGGACGCGATGGGGCCCGTCCGCCAGAACCAGGAGGTGAACAGGGACCCAGATGCCAATCCCTGGACATGCTGGTCTGAGAGGCCATGCTCAGGAGGGCAACGTATGCCCCCCAGGGCCATCTAATCCCGGCTCAGAGCCTCGTCCCAGGATCTCATGCCCCAAGGAGGGGACAGAAGCCCCAAGACGGTCTAGGGGCTGGAGGAGGTTATTGGAAAATGTGGCAAAGACGCCCCAGAATCCCGACCCGCAGCCTTCGTACTCGCCCCCAGCCTCAAACCTGCCTCACCGCGTCAAGATCCACCGCCCGGCTCCGGCTTCTGGGTTGAGTCTGCACAGCTTAAGTCAGCTGACCCGAAGCCCAGCCCCGCCCCGCCCCGCCCCTGAGGCGCGCGGCTCCGCCCCCTGCGCCGCGGGCGGAGTCGATAGACCTTGGGGGCGGTGCGAGCAAGCGGAGCGTGCGTGGTGGGGCGGCGCGAGGCCTGTCCGCGTTCCCTCACCGCCTCCCGGCTCCTCCCCGACGGCAGGTGGGCAGGGCTCCAAGCGCCCCAACGCGCAGGCGCCCACCTCATGCTGGGCGCCGTGAGTCCCGCTGTGGCCCGAGGCGCCGTCCGCCCCACCCGTGGTCCCCGGGTGCCCAAGGCTCGCTTCGCCGCCGCCATGTCCCGGCCGCTGTCGCCGCCGCGGGCCGCCTCGGGGCCGCCGGCCCGGCCCGCCACAGTGCTGGGCACCATGGAGATGGGGCGCCGCATGGACGCCCCAGCCAGCGCCGCGGCCGTGCGCGCCTTCCTGGAGCGCGGCCACACGGAGCTGGACACGGCCTTCATGTACAGCGACGGCCAGTCCGAGAGCATCCTGGGCGGCCTGGGCCTCGGGCTGGGCGGCGGCGACTGCAGAGGTAACTTCTACCTCCCCTGCACCTGCGGCGCCAGGCCGCCCCCAGCCGTGTCCCAGCCGCGCGTCCCCTGCCGGGCGAGAACCTCCCCTTCTCTTTCCTCTGGGGGTTGCAGCTCAGGAGCCCCGAGTCTTATCCTGAGCCTGGTTTAGTTCTTCTCTTCCTCCCCGCCTTGCTTTCTTGGGGCACCTCTCTGCGGCCCTGGTCTCCGGAGAGAGCTCTGCAGTACCCCTTCCAAGCCTGCCAGGTGCCCCAAACCGGGCCCCAGGAGCTCTGCCTGCGCCCCTCTCCCCATTGCCCTCGCCGCCCATGGCTCCCTGAGCACCCTCTTCTCATCCTGGTCTTTCGTCAGTCTCTGGACTTTGCTCTCTTCAGTTGGCAGTGCCCTGGCTCCCAGAGAGAGGCCGCAGAGCAAGCTCGGGCAGCAGGGGGGACAGTGTGGAGTGGGAGGTTTGTTTCGGGGCTATAGGAAGGAAAGTGACTCTGACCCACCCACAGGGAGCATAGAGTCTAAGAGGGAATGTTGAAGCCCGAAAGAGGAAGCACTTTGAGGGCTTTTTTAGGGGTCAGGGAGAGGTCTAGGGATGGATACTGGAGCCAGGCCTTAAAGGACAAACAGTAATTTGCTGGGAAAATAATAAGAGAAAGGGGCATCAAGGGCCGAAGATCCAGCTGTGCAGACCAGTCTGGACTGTGGAAGGACGGCCAGTAGACAGGTGTGGCTTGAGTGGAGGATGTGTGTGCACGGGAGGGACTGCCTCTCATCAGCCCGATGCCCCTGGAAGTGCCTGGCACGTGCGGAGGCCCAGTGAACCTTTGCTGTTATTTTTACTTCCAGACTGTGCCTCCACTTTTCTGCCCTTCCCAGTGCTTGAGCAGGAGCCCCCTCTGGGTCCTCCTGGGCTTCCGAGCTTGGTGGGACTGGAGGAACAGAGTGGGGACCTGAAAATCACACCCACGCTTTTTTTTTTTCCCTTATTTACGTATATTTTATTTTTTTTTTTCTTAAATAGTTTATTGTCAAGTTGATTTCCATATAACACCCAGTGCTCATCCACACAAGTGCCCTCCTCCATGCCCATCTCCCCCTTCCCCTCTCCTCCAACCCCATCAGCCCTCAGTTTGTTCTCAGCGTTCGAGAGTCTCTCATAGTTTGCCTCCCTCCCTCTCCACCACTATTTTTCCCCTTCTTCTCCCCCACGGTCCTCCGTTAAGTTCCTCCTAATCCTCCTATACGTGCAAACATATGGTAGCTGTCCTTCTCTGCCTGACTTATTTCGCTCAGCATAACACCCTCAGGGTCCATCCATGTTGCTACCCATGGCCAGATTTCATTGTTTCTCATTGCCATGTAGTATTCCATCGTATAGATAAACCACATCTTCTTGATCCATTCGTCAGTTGATGGACACTTGGGCTCTTTCCATGCTTTAGCTATTGTTGAGAGTGCTGCTATGAACATTGGGGTCCATGTGCCCCTGTGCGTCAGCACTCCTGTGTCCCTTGGGTAAATTCCTAGCAGTGCTATTGCTGCAGACCCACACTTTCTAGTTAACCCAGCTGCCCCTCCTTAATGATGAAGATTTTGTTTCTGAATTGGTTTTTCTCCTCCAGCTGTTGCCTGCTTCCTCCGTGGACTCCAGGCACTCACTGAGCCAAAGTCCACAGGTTGAACTTGAGGCAAAGTTCACAGGAACGCAGAGGATTTGAGAAATGTGGGGGGAATGGAGACGATGTGGACAAGAAGCAGTGGAGACTTGTCCCCTCCCACATCCCAAGTGGTCTGGTGACTCCCCTGTGACCTGCTGATCTGCCTTCGCCCAGTGTGAAAAGTGCAGGATCCGGACAGTTATGGCCCTCCTAGAAGCTGCTTGCATGGCAAAACACAGTCTCAGTTCTCTGAGTCTGAAGGGGAGGGAGATCTGTAATCACCTCCTGCCTTTGCCTTTGACCTGTCTCTCAGATTGAAGTGTGCCTGTTCAGGCATCTCCACCTCTCCAGGATTCTTTTTTTTTTTTTTAATGTTTATTTACTTTTGAGAGAGAGACAGAGCACGAGCAGAGAGAGAGGGAGACACAGAATCTGAAGCAGGCCCCGGGCTCTTCCCGGATGTGCTTCCCATCCTTCCATGTTGGCTGTGACTCATTCTTAGAGACTCAGCTCCTGGGTCATCCCTATAGGAAGCCTTCCCTGGAATTCCCAGGATGGCCACACCCCTGTGCTCTGGGCTCCCTTAGCACCAGCGGCTTTTCTCTACTGTACTTACATATCCTACCATCACCTTTAGACTGTGAGCTTCTTGAGGGCAGGGAGCAAGTGTGCGTCTAGTGCTGGGCCTGGCACAGCCAGCAGTTTGGTGACTAATAACAGTGATTACAGCAGCCATGAACATCGAGAACTTACATGTTTAATGCTCATGATCTCCCTAAGGAGAACAGTTCCATTGTTACAGCCCCATTTTACAGATTAGCGAATCGAGGCTCAGAGAGCTCAAATAATTTAGACAGGGTCACATAATAAGCCTCTTAGCCATTGCATTCTCTCCTCAAAGTGAGAATCGCCACCAAGGCCAATCCCTGGGAAGGGAAGTCGCTGAAGCTCGACAGTCTCCGGGCCCAGCTGGAGACATCGCTGAAGCGGCTGCAGTGCTCCAAGGTGGACCTCTTCTACCTCCATGCCCCTGACCATGACACCCCTGTGGAAGAGACGCTGCGTGCCTGCCACCAGCTGCATCAGGAGGTGAGGCCCGCCCCCAAGCTCCGGGAGGTAGCCTGCCGGTCCTCTCCTGGGCCTGCCGCCGTCACCCAGGAGCGTGGGGGCACCAGGGAGCCCCAGAACAGAGCTGGGGGCAGACGCCACCCCCCGGACCCCCACCCTTGGGGGTCCCCTTTCTAGAGTCCTGGGCCGTGTGGCGGGTTCTTACCGAGGCCTCTCCCCCGCAGGGCAGGTTTGTGGAGCTTGGCCTCTCCAACTATGCCTCCTGGGCGGTGGCCGAGATCTGTGCCCTCTGCAAGAGCAACGGCTGGATCCTGCCCACCGTGTACCAGGTAGGGCCGGGGCTGCAGGGCCCATCCGCAGGGCTGCTGCTGATCCCGGCTTCTCCCGGCCCCTCCAGCTGCCTCCTGTGCCCCCTCCCTAGCAGCCACTCCCCTGCCGACGGCCTGGAGAGGGCTCCCGGGTGCCGTGGGGACGAGTGCAGGCCCCTCAGCTTGGCCAACAGGCACCTGCTCGCTCTGGCCCTGGCTCCCCTCATTGCCCGCGGGTGCTCCGCGGGCCCTTCCTTCGTGCTCCCTCCCCGTGCGCGTCAGCCTGGACCCCTCCTCCCCTTCTCCCTGGTAGAAGCAGGTGCTCAGGCCCCACTTAGATGGCTCTTGATCTGGAAGCCTTTCCCGCTGCCCCAGAGGAGCCTCCAATATCCAGACTTCATCTTCATGCATTCACAGTGTTTGTAAGCACTTCCTGTGATCACAGAACTCAGCTTTATTGTGTCTTCTATCTGTGTGTATGTGGGTTTTTTGTTTTTGTTTTTGGTAAGGAAAAGTTCTTTTTTTTTTTTTTAATGCTTGTTGATTTTTGAGAGAGAAAGAGTGAGCAGGGGAGGGGTGGGGAGGGAGGGCAGGAGAGAAGACCCGAAACAGGCTGTGTGCTGACAGCAGTGAGCCTGGTGCGGGGCTCAAACTCAGAAACCCATGAGATCATGACCTGCCTGAGTCGAAGTCAGATGCTCAACCAAAGTCAGATGCTCAACCGACTAAGCCCCTCAGGCGCCCGTGTGTGTGTATTTTTTTAAACTGAAGTAGAGTTGACACTCAGTGTTGCATCAGTTGCAGATGTACAACATGCTGGTCCCATTAGTGTGGATGCTATGCTCTGCGCATCACAAGCGTAGCCACCATCTGTCAGCACGTAACGCTGTTACGGTACCATTGACTGTATTCCCTCCGCTGTGCCTCAACCCTGTGATTTCATTGCACAACCGGAGCCCTGTACCTCTGGCTCCTTTTCATCCCTTTTTGCCCATCCCCCATCCCCTCCCCTCTGACAATTGGCCGTTCTCTGTCTATGTGGGTCTGTTTTTGCTTTTTTGTTTGTTCATTTGATTTTTAGGTTCCACGTGTAAGTGAAATCCTATGGTGTTTGTCTCTCTTTGACCTATCTCACCTAGCGTAATTCTCCATAGGTCCTTCCGTGTTGTCGCAGATGGCAAGGTCTCACCCTTTTTTACATGGCTGAGTAATACTTCGCTCTGTATATGTACCATGTCTTCTCTATCCATTCATCTATCGACGGGTACTTGCTTCTGTGGTTTTTTTTGTTTTCCTTCTGTGTTTTGAACTTGACTCTAACACCTGTGAGAGCCTGAGGCAGAGACCTGGCTGGACTTGCTTGTGTTTCGCAACGCAGCGTCCAGCCCTCGGTTGGCCACGAT